CTTCCAATATTATACAATGAAGATCTGACACAGAGAAGTACTTTTCAATGATTCAACATTCTTTTCTGTTTTCAAGTAGCTCACTCGTACATGTGAATAAGTTCTCATTTGAGCGAACTATTTATTGGAGCAGCAAGTTTTAATTCTGCAGTTGCTTATTTGTACTCAGCACAGGACAGTAGAAGTAAAATCAGTAAATTAGGGAGTCAAATTAGTACATTACTTCAGTTAGGTTCTGCTTCAGATTCAGCCCGTGAATAAATTTGTTCCAGTGTAGTTCAGGTTCACAGCACTAAGAGTTCACAGTATTCTGGAATTTATGCACCCTTCCTCACATGTAACCAATTAAAAGGGTGATGCTACAGGGTGAGACTGCAGCTAGGAAAAGGCTTTAACACCGTCCTCCTGTTCTCCTGCTGGAGCTTGCACAGTACCTATACTGCTAACAGAGCGCCACAGTTTCTCTCGAGTTACCTACACATGAAACAAAGGTTGTGAAGCTTAGAGAAGCTGTGGCACTGCACAGAGAGTACAAATTGCAGTGGGGAAGTGACAGATAGAGGTCTGGGGAAAGAATCTAATCCTTCTTTATTTCCTGGGAAATTTGTGCACGTGCATACACCACCCAGACACACGTATCTACCCAACGAAGTAAAAAAAATTACATTAGTGCAGGGAAGCTCACAAGTGTAAGTAACAAGAAACAAATCTTCACTATGGGACAAGAATAGCAGCCCTGGTCACTCCTTTATTAGACCTAATTTAGTTAGCGAGCTCAAAAATACCTGCACTGAGCAGTTTGTTACTCACATCTGCAACGCACAGCAAAAAGGACCCCTCTAGCACAGACTGGTGAGTGAAGTGTGAGTAGAAAAGGAGAGACTGAGATGTGATGTTGCTCTGCAGTTTGTAATTAGTACAAACAGTCTCTATACTGAGCAGGGCATATTAGTTTTTAGGCAAACTGTTGTTCTGAATTTAACGGAGGAGAGATTTATTTTACCTGTGTTCCCAGTTAGGTTTAACAACGATTTCTTAATAACAATACCGATTCAGTTCTGATTCAAGAGAAATAATTCTAGTATGTACGGTTCTACAGGTTTGGTTTAATTAGGAACAGGTTCAGTTCAATTACTGGCACGACATTGATTTTGCAATTTCAAAATATACTAAAAAGTTAAATTATTAAGTATCAGTAATATGCAATATCATGGTACTCTCAGAGTGTGTGCACACCCACCTGATGCTATACAGCTACATCGGGATTCTGTCTCCCACAAACTAAAGCTGCGTTATCAGCGTGGACAGATGCCTTAAGTTTGCTGTGCTCCTGCTCCTACTCACTATCAGTTGAAAGCCGTCATCTGCCCAGCATGGTACTGAAGAAGACAGAGTTGTCCCACACATGGCCTTTCAGGGAGCACTGCACAGGACAAGAGGAACCGTCTGATAATGAGACAGGACCTAGAGGAGAAAGACTGAATCCAGGTTTGTCCAGACCACCTTAAACTGCATTGTCCACAGCTGGGTAAAATGACTACAGGCAGGTCCCTAGATCCTGTAGGATCTATACGGATCCTAAATCTGTCTCCAAATAGCTCAATACCCTCAGAAATCTTGGTAGTCTGATGGGGGTTTATACATATGTTGAAATCGTGAAAGACCCCAGTAGTATTTATGAGAAATTCACCGTCACAGTAATGTCGACTGTTTCCACAAGATGTCACAAGACGATAAGGACCAAGGAAGAAACTGAGCCTGCCAGATATCCATACAGCACCACAGGACATTATGCTCCACTTCAGATATAACTTACACAGAATGGCCTCACGCAAGTTGTAACCTCAAGGGAATTATGCAGCCTAAGAGATTATCCGTAACGGCTAACTGTAGAAGATGTGTCCGAATACAGTAGTGTTGGAACTGATGCCAGTGAACACATCGCTGTGCCATCCTTGCACAAGGATGCTGACAGCTGCTAAAGGTGCTCTCTTTTATTAATATATCAGTATCATCTGCAGGAAAGCATAGTCCTTCTGTATTGAGCAAATTCTATATACGGTAGTAATATTCCATTAACAAATTCCCTATATTTTCCATTTAATATGATGCTTTATGGGTACATCCCTTTCTGCCCTAAATTCTAAGTGAACAATTATTGCGTGCCATGGAAAACCTCCTGTTCTTCCCTTTCACGCTAAGTAGCGATCAAATTAGTGGCCTTAGCAGCCTTCTTACCAATACAAATCATCGGGCGTATTGTTTGTAAAGCACACTGGAAACTTTTTATTAAAGCCACGAATGAAACGCAAACTATGCGTCACCGTTTTTGGAAGTGCTCAATCACTCTCGGTGGAGTACTGTAGCTCTTACTCAAACGGGCACAGACCAACTTCTGGAGCCAACAGCAGCAAAACCCCCAGTGCTGTCACACAACGAACTATCTGCACAGCAGAGGCAGAGGTTAAATACCCTGTGTACATGAGGAATGTGTTAATAATAAAGGCACAACCCCATAATCACTTAATAGTTCCCATGTGCCCTCCGACACCTCAACATACCTCTGACGAGCGTCAGGGCTGCCAGGCAGCATTGCCTTTTACAACAGCAGCAAAACCCCCAGTGCTGTCACACAACGAACTATCTGCACAGCAGAGGCAGAGGTTAAATACCCTGTGTACATGAGGAATGTGTTAATAATAAAGGCACAACCCCATAATCACTTAATAGTTCCCATGTGCCCTCCGACACCTCAACATACCTCTGACGAGCGTCAGGGCTGCCAGGCAGCATTGCCTTTTACTGTACGACAAGCAGCAAAAGGCGTTATTTAGCAGCCTGTAATTACAGCCTGAGTTAACAATTTTGTAGCCACTGGCCTGTAATTGGCATGTACAGAGGACGAGCCTATTCGCCGCCTGCTAGCCAGAGGCTGGGGGCA